GGAGGTAGCAGCAGCTTCTGGAGGGTCCCCCGCTCCTCCTGTGGGTCTCTGCTGCCAGGACGTAGGAGCGAGAGGTGAATTCCTCCTCCCCGCTCCCCTTCCGTGGGCGGGGGCCGTGCTTCGCCTTCCCTTTCCCCAGGCCTGCTGGGGAGTGGAGGGTGGGGACCTGCACTCGCGCCTTGCTGCGCTGGCCAGGGTGCGGTGGTCTCCTGGAGGGGTCTCTTTCTCTGCGCTGCAGGTCAGCAGCTTGCTGAGCCCTGCCCGGCCGGTCCCTTGCTGAGCTGCAGCGTGGTAGCAGTGGAGGTCTCGGCAGCCCTTGCCCAAGCTGCCGGGGTGGGGATTTGGGGGGGGCTTGGGAGCAGCTGGGGGCCCGCCCCCCCCCCAGTTCCCCTGCCTGGACTGCCACAGGGTGCTGCAGCCTCTTTGGCTTCACCCTCCCTCGTGTGCAGGGATGGACGGGCTCACGGGCAAGATGCCCCACGGACAGGCCTCTCCCAGCCAGTTGCGCCCTGCCCGGGGCAGCCCCTGCCTGCACTGACCACCTCTCTCCCCGCAGAGTACAGCCGCTTCGAGTCAAAGATCCATGACCTGAGAGAGCAGATGATGAACAGCAGCATGAGCTCCGGCTCTGGCTCGCTCCGGACAAGCGAGAAGAGATCTCTCTATGTCCGGTAAGGCTGAGACCCCCTGCCTGCCCCCTTGCTCCGGGAGCCGCAGGCAGGTGGGGTGGGTGTATCCCCACAGTATGGGATGCGGGGTGTTTGGGAGGCCAGGGAAGCGAGCGTGACATCCCGAAGCACAGGGGGTGCAGCAGGGAGAGCGGTAATTTCACACGGGTTCACCAGGGCTGGGTGTTCTGCACGCGGGTGCATGTGAGGGCTGCTCTGCTGTGGAAAGCGCTGATGTCTCCATAGAGCCCTGGGCAGGTGCTGGTCAGGCCGACCCACTGGGGACCACTGGGAAGTGGGGAAATGCCGGGCATTCAGCGCCGCTTCTGCCCCGGGCAGCTCAGGGGACTGTTCAGGGCTCTCACTGAACTGCTCCCTGCTAACAGGCTTCTCCCTGTCTCCTCCTGCCATTCCTGTGTGAGACCTGGCTGGAGGGGAGATGAGCTCTTAAGAGGATTATTGCTCTGAGCCCTTCGTGCACTTTTGGTCCGGAGCCAGGCACAGGGCAGGCAGGGGTTAAGCAGCCACGCAGCTCTAACTGCTGCCAGTCCTGCACTGCCAGGGCAGCCTCTGCTCGCTGCCTGCCTCCTGCCACCTCCTGCCTGCCACAGCGTGAGTGGGGTGACAGCTAATGAGTAATTTTAACTTTGTAATTAAAATAATCCTGTAGATCCTCGCCCTGCACAGCCTGTTGCCGGTGAGGGCTCGCAGGAGCAGGGGATGCTTCTGTGGAAGAATGACAAGGGCCAAGGCTGCATCAGCCTCAGCCTGCATCCCCCACTGCATGGCTGCTCCATGCAGAGGGGTTTTAGGCTCTTGCTGGACCCAGTGCAAGCCTGGCCTGGCAGGAGGGCAGAGCTGCAGCTCTGGGTTCCTGCAGGTCACGCTTTCCCGTGAGGCTCTGCAGGCATCTTGCTCGATTTAGCATCTCGGGGCTCTGTGCTGGGGGTGTGCAACAAGCTGGGCACTGTGTTGAATAAACATCATCTTGCTAGTCCTGCCCTCGCTCCCCTGCTGTCCCATGGACACTCTCGTGGGTGGAGCAGGGTTTAGGCTAGGTCCAGCTCGAGTTGAGTCTGTGAGTCTCCTGTTCCCTGCCTGGATAGGTGCTGCACATAATGGGGCATGTCTGTGAGCCAGAGAGCTCCCCGCTGCCTCCGGGCTGCTTGTAGCATCTCTCATCTTTTGATGCATCCCTCTATGTGGCTTTGGTGGCCTCCACAGTTCTGTGTCCCCTCACATGCACCTAGGTGGCTTCAGACAGGAGCTGGGCAGCACCTTGCTGAGAGGGTGGTCCCAGGGGAGAGCTTTCTCCCCGACCCTCCAGCTCGGGTGGCCGCGCACCCCACAAATGTGCTTGCAAGAGCTGCCGGGCTGCCCCAGCCCTTCTGGGTGGGGTGGTTTCGAGCACAGTTTACCCGAAACCAGCTGAGCTGCTGCGCTGCGGACAGGACATCAATTACAGGACTCGCTACCCAACTGCTTGAGTCAGCCCCGTGAGGCTGCATTGCACCCCATGTGCTGTCAGCGGGGCTGGAGCCGGGCACCCCAGTGCCTGCCAGAGCTGATCTGGGGGTGCTGGCGCTCACCTCGTGTTTTGGAGCTGCGGCTGCGCGGCGTGGGCAGGGGTGAGGCAGGGCAAAGTCCACCGGCACTGGGGCTGTGCCGGGCAGGGATGGGGGACAGGCGGGCGTTGTGCCTGGGCACAGGGAGGAGGCCATGCCGAGTCCCTGGCAACGCTGCCCTGCCCTCCAGCCCAGACATCTG